CAGCACAGTCCATCCCACTCCTGGCACTGAAGAGAAATTCACACCATTGACATTAAGCCCTGCTTCTTTGGGAATCTTGTGGCACAGTAAATGCTTTCCCCAAATCCAAGAGTTTCTGAGAAGCTTAAGAAACCATAGATTAAATGTTCTGTGCCTACAGATCTCTTTCCTACACTGTTAGGCTCCTTGACTTTCCATCAATCAAAGTCCAAAGCACAGAGCAGGGACTGAGCACAAATCAGAGAAGATATCAAGAATCACAGGAAAATTGGCGACAGCAAAAATGTTGGAAAACATTGCTTTTGGCAATCTCAGGAGCCCAACTATCAAAGGTTTGGACTCAGGCATAAGCATTGAAACAAATGGGCCAAATTCAGGAGATTTTAGTAACAGACTTGTTGAAAACCTGGCAGTTTTCTGGCTATGATATCTGGCCAGTCCCCTGGGCTTTCACCTCACCTTTACCTGTTGAAATCAGAAAAGGCTAATAAATCAGTAGGAGAACTGGAGTAGACAGAAATGGAAAATATAGACCAATGACAATACTGAAAGATATTATTGGAAAATTCTAAGAATATAAAAAATATACAATTATGTTTTAATGTTTTTTTTTTAAACCTAGCATTCCTTTTGAGGAGCAAGAGCCCATTCTAGGACTAGTAAGAGATTGAGAAGCTTGCTGACAACACAGAGAGTCAGAGATACAAAGTCCAATGCCCTTACATGCTGAGAAGGAAGCTCTGTGGGACCTTTTAGGACTCTGTTGATGTCATAACCCTTCAGAGTCTAGGAAAGTCCATACACAAAAGTCACCTCCAGCTTCCCCAGATCTTGCACATATCAACAGCTAAAAGGCCATGCAGAGGCTTTCTCACTTGATCTGGCAGGAAGTGTGACTTCAGGGGGTCCCTAGTCCCCTCACTGAGCAGCACCCCATCCTGGGCTCCAGCTTGGCTGTCTGTCTTTTCTCCCTGGTGGACACTCGTAGTCTCCATTCTATCTTTAGCAGCCATTTCCTGGCTTGGCCAAGTCAGAGGTGGAAGTTCCTGCTGCTCCTGTCACTTCTGGTTTGGAGCTAGAGCTGCCTAGTGAGTCAGGTACCTTTGCTGCTGTTATGATTGTGTCTTGCTCCGAGGTCCCTTCTGCCTGTCCAATCCTCAGGCAGGGCTGGCCAGGCCCTCAGGCTCGGTATAAGGTCCTACCCTATCTCTTGCATTTCTCTGCAAATGAAGAAGCTTTTCTGCCTACAGATTCCTGGCTTTTCTCCCTCTGAAGGCTTCTTGTTGCTTCCATGGCCACCAGTTGTCTGAAGCAGCACATAGTCTCCTTGTCCTTCTGAAGGAAGAAAAGGTCCTAGATGAAGGACTGAGACCATGTAGTCATGAGCCCAGGGCTGCTGGGATTTTGGGCACTTCCTGTGTGGCTCCTCCATCTTGCTCATCAGCAATCTGTGGATGGAAAACCAAAGTCCTTTATGATTAGCTTCATTGCCTCTGACATACCACAGGAATCAATTTTTAGTGTTCAGTGGAGATAAAAGTTGTTTATATTGTATTCCTGTGTTTTCTTCCCTGATACCTAATCTAAAACTTGTAATCAAAACCCAGACTCTCACTGGAAGTTATGAAGCCAACTGTGAAGCCATGAGGGGAGTGGGTACTTGGGATTTACAATCTCTGATCCTTATGCATCTTGACAGAGTAATAAAAGCAGCACTACTCTTGTTAGGGCTGGCCCTGGGATGAAAGCTGGTGGTGGAAGACACAAGATATGAAAAACAAAGTTTGGCTCTGTGGGCCACAAGGTGATGCACTGGAAACCACTTGCTTTTCTTTTTCAAAGATGTTGTGGTGATTATTTGGAAACATAACATACAATTACCAATTTTCAATTTTTTAAAAAAGGCTTCATCGGGGTGTTCAGCAACATATATGGAAATCCCACAGTGGTGCAAGGCCACAAAGAAGACATTTGAAAAATGCAAGGAATGTACTAGAAAAATCCAAAGAACATGTTCAGCCTGCAAACCACACTCTAGTCATATCCAGCATCAGAGGAGAGATACTCCTCTGGATGTCTTCCTCAGGTCTCAGTCCCTGCGCATCTCCTTTCTGACTCCTCTGACTTGATCTACCTGAAATGTCAAGGGTGAGGCTGTGACTCCCACACATTCTATATGGGTATCTGCTTTGGATGTGGCTAAATGCCACCAAATCCCTGGCTGAGACCTGCCTCTGTTCCAACCCTTCTCTGGGTCTTAAAAGAGGTTTCAGCTTTCTCCTGTCCAGCCCATTGCTAGATACCCAGGCTGTAACCACTGCTTTTCTAACACTCCCCTATTTCCCATGATTATCCCCAAACATCCCCTCCCCCTGGAGTGAATTACAAGGAGACAACTAGCTCGTGTGGCTTGGGCAGAACAATCACTGGGTTAACTTGGAAAGCTGCCCAAGAAGCCCTTATCCATAAGAGACAAGTAGGTGGCTCTGCATGGCACTTTCATGCAGGTGATTGTCACCACACTGGTCCTGTCTTCCAGGGTCTCCAATATGGTGTGTGTGGGGGAGCAGTAACTGTCATCCCCTTACCCAGGAGGTTTTGTAAGTTAAGTTCCTCCTGTCACACTTTTGGTTTCCCATGGAGGAGCAGTTCCTAGAAACCCTGGTTTGTTTTTCTTCCAATTTCTTAGCATTTGTTCTGATCAGCTACACTAATGGCACAGTGCCTGAAAGGCTCCATCCGTCTTGCTGTGCTGGCCTTTGAGGAGGCTCACCAGGTCTGAAGTACAGAGGCTGCAGGAAGGAGGGTACTATCTGCAAGGGTTTGACAGTGATTTTGGTGACACAACACTCCTAAGAATTTCTCACTCTGAAACCCACAAGTCTTTGGCAGATAAGAGGACTGTCTTCATGCTGAGCAGAGTTAGTCCTGAAGGTGGCCCAGAGAAAGCAGTGATGCTGGGCCCTGCGGTCTTGGATAACAGGAACAGTTACCCTCCTCTTTTTTGGCTCTCTGACATGGCTTGTGACAAAGAACCAACAACTCAGATGAGTCTGTCTGCCTGGGCTCTCCTACTCAGAGTCTCTAAATTCCTAAGATTACTACCTAATGATCTACTTTTGTTCGTTGACAAACTTGGAAAAAATACCACATAATTTGACCTGACCAAATTGTGTCTTATATGAAGACATCCTTGGAACTCCAGAGTTGGAATGAATTAGTGAAACTGAAGACATTAAGATTCAGCAGATCAGCAGATTAAAAAAAAAAAAAAAAAAAAAAAGCCTCTTTGGAGCTTCTCTTTTCTGACCATGAGCAGCTGTTTCTAGAAAATGTAGATGTCATGACTTTCCTGTTCATGGTGGGTCTATTTCTAGGAGAGAGGCCAGGAGTGAACCTGCTACAAGCCTCCTCTCCAGGAGTATTTCTTGGCCACAAAGTGGATGGAAGATACCTGTGTAAACAACCATCTTCACACTTTCATAGATCCATTTTTAAAGAGTTTTGTTATAGTGATAGAAAACTTCTCATTCTTCCTATGAAAGTCTTTTTTGCCCTTTATATTTCTGATGTGAGCAGGAATCTTACACTTCTTGTCTGGTTTCAAACTTACTTTCAATGATATGAGCAGGGCAGAAACCACTTTATATTTTTGTCTGGTTTTAAATTTACTTTCTGAATCTAAACTAGCTTGTGATAACCATACAACCAGTGTGTCTGTGTGATAACCTGTGTGGTAATCATAAGTTTTTGCATGGCAAAAATCCTACCTTGTAAACGCTTTCAAGAAATTTATAAAAATATTTTATCATAAAGAAGAAATATATTTTACTGCTATAAGACTAGCACATTATTATTAGTATGCCACCATAAGATTGGCTTATGTTATTTGTATTAAACCCCCCTTGGCATAAAAGATGAAGCCTCTGGCTTCTTTTCGGCTGCCTTCTGGTTCAATGCTTACTGACTCTGCCCCAGCTGCTGCTCTTTGCAGAGCTGCTGCTGTATCTCTTCAACTGTCTGTGACTGTCACTCTGCCCATCTAGACCACCCTGTCTGGCTCTCAAGCTATGGAGTCTGCAGACTGTTTTGAGTTCCAGTGCTCAGTCTCCAGATTGCTGAGTTCTAGTGTTGGCCAGTGCGGCCTCTGTTCTCAGGTTACCTGGGTCAGGTAGAAGAAAGATCCTGCACCACTGACACCACATTCAGCTTCCAGTTTAAGCCTTGGGTGAGGTCCCTCTATCTTGCTGTGAATATGTGATAAATGCTTAAGAAACTGTTGCATTCAGGAGACTGTTTCACTCTTGGAATCCTTGTTGCAGACACACCAATTCCCTTTGGCTCCTATGACCCCTCAGGTGGCCTAACTCCCAGTGTCTTTCGGCCTTAAGAGTGGCCTCAATGTCCACTCGTGACACTCCCTGACTGAGTTAGGTATATATGTCCCAAGTTCTCTACATTAAGCTACTAAGTTACTCAAATGTTCATGTGCTTTTCACACATAAATAAATGTTTTCTCTGGTTAATCTGTCTTTTGTCAACTTCATTTGAAGACCCCAGACACTGAACTTAAAAAGGTAGGAGACAAGATTTTGCTCCCTGAAGCAAGTTCTTACAGGACTCATAATCTGAAGTTTTCAATATTGTAATAATCCTTCTCTATTGCAATAGTACCCCTCTTTGTGCTATAATAATACTTTTGAATAATTTTTCTCTCCAGACCTAACTCCAGATTTATTTTTTCTGACAGTGACCCTATGCACAGTGCCCAGGCAGTCTTGACAGCTACACTACTGATTTAATAGGCTTGATTGTGCAGCAATCCCATCTGCTAGTTTTGTTTGGATGTTATTATAAGCTCTGTAGGCAACTTAGAGGTTCATTAAACTGGTTCTTAAAACAACAGAAAAAAAAATCAAGACATTCCAGAGTTTAGTAAAACAAGATTAAGTGTCGATGTCCGCTCCCGGCCGGCAGGAAGGACACACGACACAGTCTGGTAGTGGACAACCTTTTCTTTTTATTTTTCTTCTCCGTACAGCCTGCCCTGGGTTCTCCCAGCTGAAGCCTCCTTTGGTCCGCTCCCCGCGGCTCCTTTTGTGCTTCAGCCTGCCCCAAAGCCTCTACCGGTCCGCTCTCCGCGGCTCCTTTTGGGCTTCTACTTCCGGGCTTCTATCTGGCTTCTTCTTCCGCCCAGGGGTGGCACCGGTATATATACGGATACAGTGTCCAATCATGTTAAAGTAAGCAAGGCAAGCTGATTGGCTAACATCATCAGTTGCCAGGCAGACTATATTGTTGAGCGGGTTGTTTACGCGGTAAGCAGGAAACTAACATATTCGATGGGAGGGGTAATCTACCTCAGGCCTCACTCTTTACTACAGGCCTCACGTCCGCCAAGTGAGGCGACCGGGCTCGGGGCTGCGGCTCCCAACATCTCCCCCTTTTTTATTTTTTATGAATGTGCGCATCGTAGCCCTTCCTGGACTGGGTGCAGAGGCTTATGCCCTATGTGTAGGCCCACCGTAGGTCCTTGGCTTAGACCCTGGTCGGCCGTCCCATGGTCTGCCAAGGCCCTGAGGCCCTCGTCCTTTTTCTAGGGCCAGGCACAAACTGGACGGAACCTGGATGCACACAAGCTTGCACTCATTTTCTCTCCGTAAAGAAATCCCCTTGGAGAGAAATTTAGACCTGGGCAGCATCTAACAGTCCAGCGGCTTACGTGCAGGATGGGGTAGGGCCTGGCTTAGGTCGAGTCATGCTGGGGAGGCACGCTCTTACCCGTCATTGACTCATCTACCCTGCTGTGTATTGTCACCTTATGGAGGAGAATGAAGGATGCCCGCCATATCTAGACTCGGTCGTGGGCCAATCGAGCAAGCCATGCATATGCCTGAGGATCTTTTTGTCCATTTCGGGCTACCGCTATTTCTATTCATCTTGTTGGTTGGTCTGTGATGGATCTCCGGTAGGGCAGGTCTGATCTTCAGTCGAGGGCTTTGTTGCCCGTGTCAGTCTCTCCGGTATCCACAGTGGTTCTCGTCCCGGTTCCTGTGGGAAAACACAAACCGCGCCTCGGTTCCAGCTGATTACTGGATCCGGGCCCATCCATTGTCCTGTCAGGACATCTTTCCACTTCACCCACCCTTTATGGTTGGGGGAAGGGTTGCAGTGCTCCACAGCTGGGGAGCGATTATCATTATTTAAATTTAAAAAATTGTGTGTGAATAGTGCCATGGATAATCGTGCCTTTGGGGCCAGGCCTTGGCCTACTCCCCCTTTTTGTTTTTGTAAAATTTCTTTGAGGCTTCTATGAGCCCTCTCAATGATTCCTTGACCTTGGGGATTGTATGGGATACCATGTTTTAATTGAACCTCCATCATTTTGCAGAACTCATTGAAAGCTTTGCCTATATAGGCTGGTCCATTATCAGTTTTTAATATTTTTGGTTTGCCCCATGCGGCCCAAGCCGCCAGGCAATGATTGATCACATTAGACACTTTTTCACCTGTTTCTGCTGTTGCAAATATGACGCGAGAACAGGTGTCTGTGGAAACATGAACATATTTAAGAGTCCCAAACTCCTGTATATGTGTGATGTCCATCTGCCAAACATCACCAGGGATCAAACCTCGAGGGTTTACTCCCCCTTTTTGTTTTTTATTTTTTATTTTTATCTTTTTCGTTTTTTTTTTTTTTTTTTTTTTTTTTTTATTGGTACCAGGGATCGAACTAACAACTGCACACTTGCAAGGCAGGCGCTTAAGCCGCTGAGCTAAATCCCCAGCCCCTTTTTCCTCGACCGGCGTTTTTCTCAGCCTGCTCGGCAGAGTAGCCGCCCATGAAAATACCGTCTGCCCAGCGGCGCGACGTCATAAGACTGCGGTCGCGACAGAGTGAAACGGGGCGTCACTTCCTGTGCCGGCTGAGGGAAGGGAGGGTTTCCTGTGGCGGCCTCTCGGCGGGGAGCCGCTTTTAGAAAAGAGCTCCAGGGCGGAGCGGATGGCTCTCTATCTCCTCCCCGCCAGAGAGCGCCGGGGAACCGAGTCTGACAATCAGCGCGCCGACCCTCTCCCACAAGCATTCTCTTGTTCCACCCCCGGTCTCCCCGATTGGCGTTTCTCTCAGCCTGCTCTGCAGAGGACTCTGCATACCAGGCTCGCCAATCCAGGTAACCACCCGAGGGCAGACACGCCTTTGCTAGCTGAATCCAGTCCGCGGGGGTGAGGGGCCCAGAAGACAGATTCTCCAGCATGGCAATGGTGTAAGGCGCAGTCGGCCCAAAGGTTGTAACTGCATTTTTAAGTTCTCTAATCTGCTTTATCTCAAAAGGCTCCCGTACATTGCGTCCCTGACCCATAGCTACTTGTACAGGAAATATCTCGTAGGGGTCACTATCCATCCCAGGTGGTGGATGTACCTCATGAAACAAGCGTCCCCCCTGCCAAAGCCGCCTGTAAAAATACCGACCTGCCGGCGGCGGAGCATAAGACAGCGGCCGTGATTGGGCGGAGAATGGGGGCCCGTGCATCACTTCCTGTTCTGGCGAAAGGGGGGGGGGCTCCCAGGCGGCCGCCTCGTGGCGAGGGATCGCCTCCGGGAACGGCCCCCAGGGTGGGGCGGAAGGCTTTGCCTCCCTCTCGCGCCGGGGCGCACTCAGGAGCTCTCTACTCCTCCGAAGACCAGGTTGAGCAGAGCGCAATTCGCGGGGCAACGCTGGAAAAGAACCCTGCGACTCCTTATTGAGCGACTTAGGCTCCTGACAGCTGGTCTCTTTGGCCTCCTTGCCATTCAACTTTCCCTCGTCCTCGGAGTCAGACGACTCCGAGGCTAGAGCCCCGTCCTTCTCCTTAGCATCCTTGTTCCCCTTGACGGACACCTCTCGGGAGCTCCCTGACTGGGCCTGCTCAGATACCCTGCGTACTTTTGTAAGCTCTTGAGAGCTTTCTCCACAACCACCCTCGCTCTTAGTGCCGCTACCTAGCATGTTTCCCATTTTTTAATATGTTACTCACCGCGTGAGGCCCAAGGAATCTGCCACTTACGCGTGAGCCTGAGGGGAGTCTAAAAGCCCTGTAGGTGCGCGCCACCCAGAGCCCAGGCTTATCCCCAACTCACCTGTCTCGCAGCTCTGTACTGGAGCGTTGTCCACTTCCACGTCGCGGGGGTGATCAGTCCCCGGGCGGGCCTCCAAATGTCGATGTCCGCTCCCGGCCGGCAGGAAGGACACACGACACAGTCTGGTAGTGGACAACCTTTTCTTTTTATTTTCCTTCTCCGTACAGCCTGCCCTGGGTTCTCCCAGCTGAAGCCTCCTTTGGTCCGCTCCCCGCGGCTCCTTTTGTGCTTCAGCCTGCCCCAAAGCCTCTACCGGTCCGCTCTCCGCGGCTCCTTTTGGGCTTCTACTTCCGGGCTTCTATCTGGCTTCTTCTTCCGCCCAGGGGTGGCACCGGTATATATACGGATACAGTGTCCAATCATGTTAAAGTAAGCAAGGCAAGCTGATTGGCTAACATCATCAGTTGCCAGGCAGACTATATTGTTGAGCGGGTTGTTTACGCGGTAAGCAGGAAACTAACATATTCGATGGGAGGGGTAATCTACCTCAGGCCTCACTCTTTACTACAGGCCTCACGTCCGCCAAGTGAGGCGACCGGGCTCGGGGCTGCGGCTCCCAACAATTAAGATGTTCAATTATGTCCTGCCATATCACACTGTAAGACTAGACCTATTTTGACTGAAATCTGCAAAACTTCCACATTAGTATGTCATTAATGTGACAACCACAACCATGAAAAGGCAAGAAGACAGAAAAGCATACTGAACCTGTTGCTCATGGGAATGAATTTGACAAATTCCAGCTTGTCTGAACTTTGGCACTTGGAACCTTGGAAGTGCCCCGCAGAACCACTGTAATTTTCGTTGTTTTGTGTTTGGTTTCTCCAAGGAAGAATAATTTTGGTTTTCTGTTCTTTGTGGTTCTCTTGTACTTCTTGTGCTACATTAGGAAGCTCTCTTAGGGTAGAAACAGAAGACTATTTGAACACTGAAAAAGTGGCTTTATGAACATATTATCTTAATTGCATTTTCAAGTTGAAACACCGGTGAAATTCCTGCCCCAAGTGACTCACACAAAACTAAGTAAAAGACAGCGCCCGAGGCCAGTGAGTATCTTTCCCTTGTCCAGACTTAGCTGGAGTGCTGAGTCTTGGCAGTGATCTGGCATACTCCATGGCACATACACTGTTTTGAGTACATTTGCAGTCCATACGGTCCTCACTCAGGGAGGACCTTTTAGATTTTCTGGGGTTAAAACAAAATCAAAGTCCAAAGCTATAAACAGAATGAGGGAAGCTATAAATCACTGAAGCATAATGTAGCCATTCACTCACCCAGATGCTTTTGAGGGCACCTCTGCCTGCCTACCCTCATCACTTGCCTAAAAAAAGTCCAGGAGCCTTGGCATGGAGCTCCCTTGGGGAACTTAGCAGCTCAGCCTCCTGGTGCATCAATTCTTAGCAGCCCCCAGTGCCCTCTGCTGCCCTTGACATATTGACACTGTGACTCTAAAGATTGATCCAATTAACTAAAGCAATAGAATCTGACCTTTGCAAGATTGTTGTCCTGGCCTTGATTTACTTATGAGGAGAAAATATTCCTCTTTGTTTAAACATTAAATAGCAAATAAATAACGTCTGATGGGTTTAGTCTTTCAAAAGACCAACATTCTGAGTCTGGTAACCTATCTGAAAAACAGTATATACATATATATATATACATATACATACATACATATATATATATATATATATGCATATATATATATATATATATGCATATATATATGCATATATATGTATATATGTGTGGGTAACACAGGTGCACACAATTTTCTTCAACTCAGTTCCTTATAAACAAGTTTTCTTTAATCATCTTCTATGATAGTCTCTAGGGCTGCTGTAAATATTTGTAGACAGAGCCAATAATCTGGATAAACTGGACCAGAGAGATTTCTCACTGGTCAGCTTCAAAGGCAGGGTTAAGGTCAAAGCAGTCCTCTTCGACCAAACAATTCTCTGAGCAATCCTACATAGGTAATGCATAGTTTTTGAAATATTTAAAATTCTTCCAATATGACTATTAGAAGGCTGCATCCTGCAGGCAGAGCTTAGGTGTTTTATGGTTAGAAGAACACATCACTGCACATCTGAACCATAACAGCTATACCCAGACTTTCATTTCTTTCAGAAATGAGGAAGGTGGAGGCCTGCCCTGCAACAAGACAAAGCTGAAAGGCCATGCTGGGCTCAAATTTTCACTGTATGTTTCTGAGGCAAGACTCATGCTCTGGAGCCTGCCGAGGGGAACTCTGCAGCTGAGGCTGAACAGGGAAGCCATCCCTGGCCTCAAGTTCTATATTTGTCTTAATTTTGTGGCATGCACTTGTGGTTGGGCAGGAGCTAAAGTTTGGCTGGAAGCAGTTTGTACTGATTTCCAGGTCCCAAGATTTCTGTTAATAGTGCCAGGCCCATTAGGCCTTGTTATGCTATGCTCCCTACTAGGGCTGAGGTCTTTACTTGTACTTATGGCCCCACCCATCCTGAAATGCACCTGTATTGCAGTCCATCCTACTTCTATGCTGCTGACCCCTGATTCCCCTTCCTTTAGACTTTCACCTGCCATCCATTTTGCACAAACATGGATATGTTTCAATCTCTTCCAAAATAGTACCTCAGTCTCCTTCACCCTGATCAGCAGAGTTGTGGTGTTTTCTATTTAAGGCACCCTGACAGCCTCTTCCACAGCATGAGTTTTGGACTTATCTGGACCCCCAATGGAGGCTTGACAATAACCTGCCCCTCAACTTCCCACTTGCACAAGGTGTGGTTTTCAAGGCTTCCTCTGTCTTACTAACCTGCTGCCTCTTCCTCCTGCTTTCTTCCATAGTTTCTTTGCTCTCCTTTGGGCATTTTCCTTTCTGTCTTCCTCCAGTCCCTATTTTGGAGACCTTGAGCACTGATGGTGGCATCAGTGCTCTTTGGAGTGAGCAGAAGTGAGGGGTCCTGCATAATTAAGTGGTCTTTGTCTCCTGTGGGCCCATCATATGCTCTTATGCTAGCCAGAAGTGCCTGCTTCCTGAGTATCATCCTGATTGGATGAATATCTCTATACTGAGCTGATGATTTGTTCCAGTACCTTTTGCTTTCCACATCGATACAAATGTCATCAGCAACAGTGGTGAAATTTGCTGCTGCACTCAGTGGGGGAGTCTTGCTCGGGAACAGGGCTCAGCTCTCAGCCTGGTCAGAGCCATCAATATAGACTATCTCTGCTTCCTATCAGCAAATAGAGGCCTACTCAGAATCAAACATTTGAATGCTAATGTGACTTCAGGGAAAATTTGCTACAGACTAAATCCATTTGTCCCTCTCTCTGCCCCCTGCCTCTGTTTTCCTGCAGTTTCAGAAGTGATGATGAATCTACCCAAAGAATCCAGGATTCACTTCCCATTGTTCTCCAGCATCATTATGTTAGATGACTGCAGGCTGCAGCCGGGACCCATTTATCAGGATAGATGGCACATCAGCCTCGCTGCCAACCCTCATTCCACAGAAGCCCATGGCATTGGCGAAGCAGGGATGAATGTGTTTACTCTTTCATTTGCTTACATAAAGCAAATGTTATTTTCAGGTACATTATAGCTGCCAGGCAACAAATCCCAGAGCCTCTGTGCACAAGGTAGATGTTATGGTCATTCCAACTTTGTGGTAGTGGAGACAGTTATCTTGGATGGCTGGGCCCCCAGAGCACTGCTTTATCACTGGCCAACTTCTATTTCTGATCTGGTGGCCTTTGATGAACCTATGGGGATAGGATAGGGATGTTGCATGGAGCAACAAATTGACGGTGTATGCCTGTGGAGGGAGCTGTCAGTGTGTTCAGCTCAGAGTCATGAACGTCAAAGTGCACCCAGCTGTCCACATTTGTCATCTCTGCAGTAGAAATTGCCGGAAATCCACACAGGAAAGACAACATTGTGCCATACCAGAAGGGAAAAAAGGTTGAAAGTGCTCAGAAATTGAAGGGTGGTGTGGAAAGAATACAAGCTAGTCCTGCTGGATGCCCAAGACACAGAAAAACAAGGACCTTTTATTCACCTGCTGCAGCAGAAGCCAAACGGGGAGCTGGAATTTCTATCCTCACAGGGTTCTTGTGAGTTAACCCCATATACGGTGATATCAGAGAGGCTGATTAGCATTAACTGATGATTTGACTTAAAATCTTTCAATAGTATGAAAGCAAACCCTTACAAGTATAGTGGTTTTCATTTTTGGTATAGTGTTCAATAAGACATAAGGTGGTCAGCACTTTGTTATAGGAGAGGCCTTGTGTTAGACAATATTACCCAACTCTAGGGGCACCTGTACTGGTATGAGCTGAGCACATTATTCTAAAGCAAGTCAAACTAAGCTGAATGTATGGTAGATTGAGTGCAGTCAATTAATTTTTCAGTCCTGAGTACTAAACCCACGGCCCATGTGCTAGGTAAGCACTCTACCACTGAGCTACCTTTTCATCCTGCTTTAAGGAAACTTTTGCAAGCCAGGCATGGTGGCTCACACCTGTAATCCCAGCACTCAGGAGGCTGAGGCAGGAGGATCATTGTGAGTTGGAGACCAGCATGGGATACACAGTGAGCTTAAGGCCTGCACAAACTGCATAGAGACCCTGTCTAAAAAAAAAAAAAGAAAAGAAAAGAAATTTGCGCTGTATTGTAAGCTCTTGTTAATTCCAGGACCATTATAGGAGCCGGTTCTTTACCCTTGCCACGCATTGACAAGACCCAGGCCCAATTACTGTCAGTGTAGGCCATGTGGGGAAGTGGGAATGTGATGTTCTGTTACCAGCAGCAGGAGGAAAACCTTCCTTCTCTCCTAGGGTAGTATAGGAAACACCTTGTAGAGAGTTAAGAGTTTCACTATCACTAAGGGATAAGGCCAGTCCACCTGGCGTCAGCACAGAGCACATGGGGAGTGGTAACAGGTTCTCCTCCTTCTCAGTCTGCAGGTATCAGCAAACACCAGTGAGGAGCCTGGAATTCACTTCCATCAGTGGTGATGAGAGGTGATGCCCTTCCCTGATCAAAGCATGATAAGAGAAATTCTGCTAGAACACAACATATAAGTGATACACAGGGTCTTATAACATGATGCCCATAATATCCAGGTTGGGTAGAAGGTCACTTTCAGGAATGAGGAGGATCTCAAATTGGTAGAGAAAAGACGTTGATCAGAAGCCAGCACCAAGATGCTGTGGTATGAATATGTCCCCCATATGTTGGAAACACTGACAGCATTGGGAAATGCAGGTTTTTGGAGCTGTTATGCTGTGAAGCTTCTGCCCTCACAAGGGATGAGTGCCTATATAAAAGGGCTTCACAGAGGGAGGTTAATCATTTTCCACACCCTCCATCTCTTCTACAATGTGAGGATGGTGTTTCTCCCTCTGGAGGGCACAATGACAAGGTTTTATAGTGGCAGTGGAGATTGAGACCTTCCCCACCAGGAAATCTGCCAGTACTTTCATGGTGACCTTTCTGGTCTGCAGAATCATGGAAATCACTTTCTGTTCCATATAAGTTGTCTGGACTCAGGCATTTTGTTAAAGCAGCCCA